CAAAAGGACCAGGATTTAATGGACTGATCAAAAACAGGACAGCAGAAATTGCTGGTCGCTACCGGGTGGCGGTATTGAGGAGGTGTGGTGTAATCGATATAAAAGCACTAACATTCGATGTTTACAACGTGGTGGTCGTTCTGAAGAGGTCCTGAAACCTGATATGAACTGAGCTTAACAAAAAATGATGGTCGCTAGCGGGTGGTCGTATTGAGGTACTGTGGAATCCGATATAAAAACACCAGAAATTGATGGACGCTACGTTGTAGTCGGTTTAAAAAGGTGTTATGCAAAAAAGCGAGCATAACATGGTCACTACCCAGGGTGGCCGTATTGAAGAGGCGTGGTGTAATCCTATATAACAACACAAGAAGCTTTTGATGGACTCGACATGGTGGTCGTATCATAAAGTTGGCTTAGCATCGATCAAATTCAAGGAAAATTTCGATGACATTCAAAGGCAAAAAAATTCTGCTCACACACCATGTAGACGAGAAAGAAGTTGGTGAATACGCTCTACCGTTTTCGTTTGAACGCCCACATTTACCCCAATGTGATTTTATATATTACATATCGTGGCTTTACCAAAAAAAACTCACCTTTTGAAAAAGCTTTTTTAATGTCGGGGGATTTTTATATAGAAAGTAGAAAGGTTGCGATTGTAATTGATGTCATTTTATCGTTATTTCCTATTCCAGGCGGTAAAAAAAGTCGGTAAAGTAAAAGCTTCCTAAGCTCAAAAATATATCCATTTCCGTGTCGTGGTTTTTAAATAATATTATTTTTAATATTTTTGATATTTTTTAGATTTAACGAGCAAAGCTAAAAGCTAAGCGTTGTCTTTTATTCTTTGTATCGGTCAGCTAGCTAAACAATGCGTTTCCAAGGTCTCCCCAATACGATTAATAATCCTATATATCTATTAATGAAATAATTTTACATAGATTACCCCAGATAGAAAAACACTTATCACAGACGATATCACTAGCTCAAACGAAAATAGATTTTTATTGTCTGTTATTGCTTAACTTAATTCACTTTATCTTTTGCTTTCCCAAGATCCATTAGCCAGAGGAGTGAGTTATATATTGGGAAAGACCTTATGCCTTTAACAAGGATCCGCGCTAATATTTGAGTTTGTTACTCACTCCAACGTCGAGATATACTTTTCCTCTAAAACGGTTCGAAAACTTGGGAAGCTTTCTTCCATCGGTTTACCTTTGATTCTGAGATTTATCTTTGAGCTACAAAAGCTCGATTGGTTTACATTCTATATGAGATGTTTGGCTCGGAGTTCCCACTTCAAAAATGCATTTGGACTATTGAGCTGAAGTGACCGGCCCCAAGTCAAAGCAAGCTTATTATGATTGACTCATTGAAAGCTAAAAATGCTTGTCTTTGATGAACCGCCGTGAAACCTTACTCGAAAAAGGTAGGAATGAGAAATGTCTTCTATACTATCACTATTATACTAGTTTTATTTATCTTCAAATCCATTTTGAATTTCTTTCAAATTCCTATAATACTCAGTTTTCAGCATTTATCATGGTCAGTAGTTAAAATATAGGAATACGAGCTATCTAATACTATAGTTCAGTTTTATTTATCCTAAAATCCATTTACAATTTCTTCCAATTTTTGACACTATTTTAAGCGTTTGAAATACTACAACTGTTTTCGGTATTTTCACACACTTTTTGACTAACTTGACAACGAATGAAATTACTCAGAAATTGGAAATTTCCTTATCATAAACTTTTATAAACTCGCTCCATTGCTGTAGAAAATATATGGAATTATATGTGTTTCTTGTAAGTTATGTTGTTAGGTCTTGCTTGTTTTTTAGCAATGAATAAGGACGAGGTTTTCGCTTAAAGACTTTGTGATATCGATATGTTTATTTGGTTTTGATATCACTCATGRCTATAGAGAAGTTGTTTAACTAGGTTGCTTTAGTTTCGTGAGAAAACGGAAAGGAAAAAGAGAGAGAGAGAGGTTGCTAAAATACCACATTTTGGGAATCCTTTTCCAAGGAAATCCTCTTTTGATCCCAATTCAGCTAGACAAGGCTTCCAAGTCACGAGTTTCACTTCTACATTTCCAAAGCATATCTTTCTTCCTTTCCTTTCTCTTTTTCTCCTCTTCTTCACAAAGAACTACTATTTTGGCTCGTAGTAAAGCAGAACAAATGGCAAACTTCGGAATTGAAAATCCCCTGCCCTTATTTAATCAAACCAGATGGTTTTGGTAAAGTTTCTAGCGCTTCTCAGCTGTTGGTTGGCAGCGAATATATGTTAAATTATATATAAAGTTTGGGTGGACTTTGTCTTCGCAATCAATCTGTCTACACTGTTCGACTGTTTGGTAAGGGCTCTGCCTAGCCACCTGCACGGCCGCCCGGCTTAATTTCCAACCGTGAAAGTTTGTTTTAGGATTCACTATACGCTTAGATTTCAAAACAAATAACCTTTTTATGGCTTGACGGGAGATAGTGACTTCATAGTGCGATCCACTCCATTTAGAACGCTAGTTTCCTGTCCGCTAATGGCTCTGATCTTTTTTTACCGACGGTTGATCAATAGTTTGCAAACATGGAAAGTTAGCTTATCATACAGTGGAATACTTCCGATAGCTCTTCAACGCACTAATAGGTGTTTGCTGTGGTTTTGGGAAAGAGAAGAAAACAAACGCACATCAAAAAAAACTTTATTTAGTATTTCTACTTCTTAAACTTCATTCATCTCTTTCTCATACGATTTATCTTTTTCTCTAAATAGTTCTTTTCTTTCTTACTTTTTTCTATTATTGTAGTATCGGCTTTCCATTGAACTTCTATTCTTCCCATGCTGCCTCTATTGTGTTTACTCATCTTATAGCCCCATTTCCTTTTAACCTCTTTATCATTCTCGCACGTTTGATCCCGCTTACATTCATAAGGTTCAAATTCTGATTCTCGGAGCCCAGAACAGCTGAGCTCCAGATCGACCTCAATTAGACTTTACATGTCATAATCCTTGAAGACCGGCTAGGAAAGAACAATGCGACGTAGTCCTTGAACTTCGTGGTCTTCATCTTTTTTAAACAGCCTTGTTTTGCCTCGAAATCCTATCTCTAGCATCTTGAATAGGAAAACAAACAACCCTCGTCTGTCATCTTACCATTACGTATATTAATTCTATACTGACTTGGACAATAGCCTTAAGTAAATCAAGTCCAACTTCATCAATGAATTAATCTAAATCTTTCCAGATTTCTACACGAAGATCAAAGGTTTATGATGATTACTCCAAAATTATGATTAAGATAGGCTTATATCCAGTAAAATCTCAATTGAACACCGAGTATTTTTTGAATATTTATTATCATTGGTATTTAAGTTAATCATATAAAATAACTTAGATTAGTAATACAATTTTTTTATTTAGTTTTAATGAATTATGTAGCAAAATCTTTGTTCTTTAGTTTTATTATCCTTTTTAACGTATTTCGTTCCTATAATTGAATTTTTTAATCCATTATTTTCTCATATTTTGGTGTCTGCTTTTTCGCCGTCTTCTGCTTCGTCGCTGTTTTCTTCTTGTTCTTCTTGTTTTTTTCTTTCTTTTTCTTTTTGTTCTTGTTTTTCTTCGTCGTCTTCTCCTACTCCTTCTATAGCTCTGTATTCTATTTGATTCACTAAAACATTTCTTTCTAACTTCAAAAGTCTTTCGACGTTTTCGCTTTTCCAAAAGTTTTTCAGTATCGCTTAAAAGTACTAGCTTCTGCCAGCCCAGAGCTTCAATGAATTAACCATAATCTCTCTTTCATGAGTTTTGAAGCAATATAATTTGTTTTTACTTGTGGAAACGATCTTTCGAAAAAGCTTTTTTCCTTTTGTCCTTTATCTTCATTCGAAGCTTAATTTTCAATTACGCCAAATTGAATTTAGAAGTTCAAATGCCATGAGATTCTTAATGTAAATCTTCAACAACAGCGAGGAAGTCATTCTATTGATGACCGTGAAATTGGAAGATAAAAACACTCGAGAATTATTTGAAAGCCGAGTCTAAACTAAATGTAAAAAACATATCAGTAAAAAGACTCTTTCTTTTAACACAAAGGAGTCGAAAAAAAAGACTTAAAAATAGCCATTCTCTGCTGTAGACTCGAATAGGATACGTACAAGTAAAATGAGCACTGGAACAAAGAGAGCTTCTTTTTGACTTTATAAACATCACGTCGGCGTTTTTTGAATTAATTTCGAGCTTTCATAATAATGATACTTATTGAGAAAGAAACTTCTCCTGATGTATTTAAGTGAAGACGACATACTGTGTTAATTGGCGAGGAATCTCCTATTGTTGATCGAACAAACAATTGGAAAACTCAACTTGTGTGTGTTTATAAACCTCTTGGCTTGCTGTGAAGAAATATTCTAGTCTCATCGGTTGCTTTTGCATACTGCCCTCACGTAGTCAGCCAGACGACTCACCAACAGAACGGCTTAAACCTTAGAAATCTCCCCCTTGTTTGAACGTCTGTTATTTTTTATTTGTTTTGAGAAGTGTATGTTATTATTCGGTACCGTTTTATTTAAGCCCTGAGGGTGTTAACCAACTTGGTATCCGATAGTGAGCTCTCAGTTACAAACGTTAGTTCTTCCTTGGGATTCGTATGGGGGCTCCCCAGCCCACGTCCGGCTTTTAAAAGTTTCTCTTAAAGTAAACACAGATATTTTTATTATTTGTTTGCGTGTGTAGCTGAACAAAAACCAAGAAAAGGACAAGAAGTTAGTTATTTCCTGGGAAGGGTTGCCAGGGCGAGATTCAATATTTTCCTCACCATGCAGTACCGCCTGCCGATATTATTGACATTCCCATTTAAGGGGATATAGACTCGGCAACCATCCCCACTGCGCAGGCTCCAACTACGGCGACATTGCATGGTATAAAATAGTTCTTATACTATTAGATCTGTCCAATTGACTACATCCTAAATAGAAAACTTGGTCATTTTTACAGCAAATTAATCTGGTCGAAGATCCAGGAAAAGACAACGTAATCGTGTAAGTAGATGAATTCTGAAACAATTACTATACTTCCCAAATTTGTTTTCCAGTCAACTAGAGCAAAATAGAGAAGTCTCGTCTAAAAGAATGACAAAAACTATAGCATATTTCCGTACAATATCTTCCTAAGAGCTCGAGTGAAAGCACTGTGCCGTCAACACAGAAAACTTGTTTGTTATATTTGCATTGTCTAAATTATTGCCGGCATATCGAAGTAGTTCTCTGTCCACGCCTTTGAAACCCAATCCTCTAAAACAAGTCTTTTATTTCGCGATAATGGAGAGCCGTTTTGTACCGTAACGTTTGCTAAGCGAATTGCTTTTTATGTCCTTTATTTATCTTTGCTATTTTTGCATTTAATGTAGTATGGGTTAGAATAATCACGTTCTTTAATTACCGTGCTAATACAAACCTTTTTTTTTTAGTTTTTCTGGCCTCTTTTGTTTCTTTCCATTATCCATTATTTCATCTTGTTATCGATTCATTCGTTTTTCTCTTGGTTGTATAAAAGTGAGAAACTAAGTTTGATTCGTGTTACGGAAATATTCCATTTGTATCAAAATTATCTAATGACCGAGTTTTAAATATTTTTTGATATCAACTTTCTAAAAGGGAGATCAGGTTACGTTGACGTGGAAACCGCAAAAAACATCTTGTGGTAAAACTACATTATTTGTTAATGTTGCTTTTTAGTCTTCGTGAGGAAGGCTTAGAGTTTTCTGATATTATTCTGACGTTTTTATTGAGGCTTATACGTAGTAATTAATGCTATGGTTTTCCAGCCATACCAATATATAAAGCTGTTGCATCCTTTTTTGGTTCTGTTTTGTATCGAAATAGAGTGTAGTTTCTCTCATAATTCACGCGCGAGATTTCTTTTAGATTTCTCTTAAAACGTTTGCAGTTTATTTGCACAAGTCTTAACAGTTCTGTAGAACTAAAAACGGCTGTTTTCGCTTAATTTTTATTTTTTTCTACACATTTTTACAAAGTATTATTTATTACTGTTACATTTCGCGATATGTTTCGTAGTTTGCTCTGAAAATTTTGCTGGGATAGGACACTAGATTTTTGTACGACTTCATGGTCCTAAAGAAAAATCTTTCACTCTTTTTATTTAAAAAATCCTTTTATTTTGCAACCTGAATGTTCTTTCGCAATGTTTTAATTTATGAATATCTCAAAATGTTTTTGTAATAGATTACGTCTTGACTAAATCTTCCAACTCTTTGTTAGAGCTCGGTTAGGAGATTACCGGTCTTTATCGTTAGGTTTCAGACGGAAAGGTCCCTTAATCAACTGAAACAATCTCCAAACGCCAACCATTCGTAAAATGAATACAGTATTTAAAATGATGATTCCTAAAACGTGGTTATCATGATGATTTTACATCTCGTTGGCTGAATTCCATCTCTGAGTCTCATCTCCGATCACGAGGCCAAAGCTAGATAACCAGGAATAAGCCGATAACAATCGCAGGCAAAGAAATATTTAAGGCTTTTTTGATGCCCTTGCACAGATCGTACCAGTTTACTTGATTAATAACGAAATCCTGTCACTATAGTGTTGAATACCGCGTGGTTTTAGAGATTTCTCAAGGTAAAAATCAGCTGATTTTTACATTAATTCCAATCCGATTATTTGCTGGTTTTGTTAGAGCTATTTGCATTGGTTCTTAGAAAAAGTCGTTCCTTTTTTAAGTGAGACAGTCATATCTCGCAGCGGAAGACTTTTTTGTGGCGCTGACAGTTGCAAAAAAAAAAAAACATTCTTGAATATCATTGGTCGTTTTATGTTCTAAGTTTTTTTTTAAAAAAAAATCCGATCCTTGATTATCGATTGAAAAATACGAAAGAAAATTTCTCTACACTATACTCAGTGGATGAGTTCTTTTTTGACTGAGAACGAAAATTAAAAAATCATAAAAAGGCTGTACAAAAAAACAAAAAAATAGAAAATTATACGACTCTAAAATTGGTTGGAAAAATCTTGACAAAAAGAAAAAAATTTTTAATGGAAATATAAGATGAATTAATTCTGGGGTTTTTTTTTCGTTTTCATTTTTTTTGGAGATGATCATCAGTTCTAGAAAGTAGAGCGGAAAAAAAAAAAAAGAATTAAGTGATACAGTTGAAACCCGATACCATGTGAGGATTTGAAAACAGACTTTTATTTTGTAGATCATTTTCATGCTTCGTGCTGGCTGTTTAGATAGCTGCCATACGTCTGGTGTTTTTACTTCCTGTAGGCAATTAAAGCGTAAATATATACTTTGCGCTCCATATCAAGTTTTAATGTCAAATTAATGGAATTCATTTAGGATAGAAGACTGAATATCACTCTTTAGATTTCATCTTCTCCTTCCCCTTTTTCTTTCTCCTTCTCCTTCTTCTTCGTCTTCGTCTTCGTCTTCGTCTTCGTCTTCGTCTTCGTCTTCGTCTTCGTCATCTCCTCCTCCTCTTTCTCCTTCCATTCCTCTAAGACATCCCATATTATTACTCATGCCAATCATAAATAAACCGAATATTTTTTCGTTTCTTTTATCATAATTGGTCGTTTCGTTTAAATTATTTCAAATTGAAAACTAATAATAGTTGTCTATTTTTTATTTTGCATACCACAATTTTTCTTCGTTTTCTTTGGTATTTTGATATAACTTTGGATTGTTCAGTTCTAACATTAAAACATGTAGAATGGTTTATTAAAATAATAGGTTGTGAAAATCGATACAAATGTACAAGTATGCTAAGAGTTTTTGAAAATGGTATTTTTTCCATTTCTACAAAAGAGAAGCGTACTAAGTTCGTTTGTGTGCAGTTGATTTACAGCCCTTTTTTGGTAGTCATATGCATTTCAATTTGTTTGATTGTTCGTTTTTGGACCTTTTTTCCCATCTTTTTTCATTTTTACCATTTTTGTTGATTTTGATTTTGTTTTCGCTTCAACTGCTGATGTTGATCAGTGCTGCTGTTGTTGTCGTTACTGTTGTTACTGTTGTTGCTGTTCCGGCTGTTGTTGTTGCTGCTGCTGTTGTTTTTTTCTGCTGTTGCTGCTGTTACGCTGTTGCTGCTGTTACGCTGTTGCTGCTGTTACGCTGTTGCTGCTGTTACGCTGTTGCTGCTGTTACGCTGTTGCTGCTGTTGTTACTTCTGTTATTGTTGCTTCTGTTGCTGTTTTTGTTGTTGCTGCTGTTGCTTCTTTTGTTGTTGCTGCTGTTGCTTCTTTTGTTGTTGCTGCTGTTGCTTCTTTTGTTTGTTGCTGCTGCTATAGTTGTTGTTGCTGTTGCCTCTCTGCTGCTGCTGTTGCTAAAAATAAATAAACCAACATTATTTAAAGAGGGTGACACATTACAGTCGCCACTTACAAGCTCGTGGCCCTCTATTTTTAACGTCTTTGCATGGGACGGGACCACCATTTAAGGTGTTTATCCAAACCACGGCGATGGTCTAACCATTTGCAAATATTTTTGGAGCAAAGGCAACACCTTCTAATTGAATATATATTTTAAGACTGTGATTGTTGTTCCGGCCAAGGCTTCAATCCAGGCCCTTTTGCACAACAGACTGGGCGCCACAAGCTGAGCCAACCAGGATTATTGTTGATGATGTTACTGCTGTTGTTGATACTGCAACCGCTACTGCTACTGCTATACTGCTACTGCTACTGCTACTGCTACTGCTACTGCTACTTACGGAACATGGTCATAAATTGTCTCAAGTGTAGGTTTTCTCCGCCCCACGTAGATCGCTACTACTACTGCTGTTGTTGCTGCTACTGCTACTGCTACTGCTGTTGTTGTTGCTACTGCTGCTGCTATCGTTTGAAAGGTGTTTAAGCTACA